AACTTAAAGAAGGGATTTTTGTTGGACCTCAAATTAGGAAATTGACTTAGGATGAACAGTTTGAAAGGACAATGAGAAAAAGTTGAAAAAAGAAGTGTGGATGGCTTTTAAAGATGTTATTGACAATTTTTTTAGGAAACAACAAGGACCCAAATTACGAAAATATTGTGAATAACATGCTCATTAAATTCAAAGAGTTGGGATGTAATATGAGCTTGAAAGTTCATTTGTTACACTCACATATTCACTAGTTCCCTGAAAATCTTGGTGCTGTCAGCAAAGAACAAGGGGAAATGTTACATCAGAACATCAGGGAATGGAAAGGAGGTATTGGGGAAGGTGGAACATCAACATGATGGATGATTACTGCTGGTCATTGAAACAAGATGCTCCAGATGCAATACATAAAAAAAGACCACAACACACAATTTTGATATTAAAAGACATAGATTTCACAAAAAATCAGGATGAATGAGGATGCATATTTGTTTGACATCAATGTTCTTCCCTTTTCTTCAGTTTGTTTGGGCTCCAGGATTGAGTTTTATTTGAGAATTCAGGGCAGAAATTAAAGGAAGCTAGTAGTAAAGTACAATTTGTATGCAGAGTTTGTAGGTTAGAGGGGAAACTAGAGGCTGTTTTAAATAGGGTATAGGTGATGAAAAAGGAGAACGATAAACTGCGGGAAGTGACAACAGAATTTAAAGAGAAAATTGAGCTTTTTCATGCAAAGAATACAAGAACTAGTAATGACTTTCATAAGGTTGGGAACAAAGATAATACGGCTAATGGTGGTAGGTTTAATTATAAAGAGAATACTCTGATAAAGAACAGATTTCAGCCATTGGCTTGTGTAGAAAATGAAGTTAAGGAGGGAAGAATAACAAAAGGGACAGATAGGAACAGGAATGAAAACATAAGGATGTTATTATTACAAGAGACTCTACAGTACGGCACATGGATAAGGTATTTTGTGGGATAAATAGAGATAAAATAGTTAGAGCATGCTATTCATTGGCAGGGATGGACGATATAACCGACAGAGCAGGTGATATAATAAAGGGTGCACATAGGGGCTAATGATGTAGGAAAGGTAGATAAGAAGAACTGATTGTTAACTACATTCTAAGGCCTTTTAAGAAAAGGGCCATAATAACTTAATTCTATCAGGGATAGTACCAAGACTTAACTGAAATTAAAAGTAGGTCACTGAGGCTAAATACTAGGCTTAAATTAACATGTAAGGAAGAGCAGGTTGGCTGATTGGAGATATGGGACCAATTAAATGGAAAAATGGAGCTTTTTTGAACGGATGGTTTACATATAAATAGAGTACGGGTTGGCTTGTATGCGAGGGTTATCAACTAAACTCTAAGAGCAACTTTGACATTTAATTAAACAATGGAAAAGGCCAGAATAATGAAAAATATGATGTAAAGAAGAGAAAAGTGTAAAAATAAAGTACAAAAATTGGTTTAATGGTAGGCTAAACTGTTATTGTTGTAATGCTAGAAGTGTAAAAAATGAAATAGGTGACCTTAGACCATTGGTCAGAACAATGGGTTTTGACATATTGAGAATAACTGTAACCTGGCTAAATGTAAATATTTATGATGAAAGGAATGTCTTTGAAAAAAAGAAGGGGAAGATATGTTTTATATGTAAAATGTGAATTTCAACCTGTTCAAGTTGACGATATCAAAACTAATAGCAATGAATCTATTTGGATTTCTGTTAGTGGTTATAAAAAGAGAAGGCTTTTAGTTGGAACTTGTTACAAGCCATCAGATGAAAATGATGCAATTAATGAGAAACTCTTCAAGGAGATAAAGAATTCAACTGTCAACGAGGTTGTAATTATGGGAGATTTTAATTCCGGGCATAAAGGTTAGAGTCTATCGTCAGGGAGACAGGTTTTTAGGTACTGTTTAAGACGATTTCCTTCAACAAGTGGTTAAGAAAGCTACTAAAAACAATGCTATTTTAGATTTATTATCAAATTTTGATAAAGAAATAGTTCATACGATAGATATTGTGGAACATCTGGCTGCAAGTGATAATTTCTCAATTAGATTTAGTGTTTTGTTGAATATGTAGATAAGGAAAAAATTAGATTTTGGTTCCAGGTTTTAAACAAAGATGAAATAGGAATAATGTGATGTGAATTGGGCATTTGAATTAGTTAGAGATACTCATTAATATGAAAAGATTTAAAAATATATACATTTAAGTGTTCAAAGTAGGCATGTTCTTTACATATAAAAAGGGTGGCTGCAAAGAAAAGACCAGGTTGGCTCACAAAGGATATAAAGGATAATGTTTTTGAACGAATATTATACATATAAGAAGTTTAAATTTGCTGCAGTGATAGGAGATTTGCAAGGCTATTGAAAATCAACAGGTTTGAACGAACAGGAAATTAGGAAATAAAACAAAACTATGTGAAAAAAGATTAGCTGAAAATCTTAAAAAATAAATAGTAGGGATTTCGTCAAATACGTTGAGGGTAAACAAAATGTTAGGATAGAAATAGTGCCTTTGAAGATTGACATAGGATGTCTAATATCTGATGATTATAGGATGGCCGGGATATTAAATTGAATATTTCTCCCTGGTTTTTACTAATAAGGATTTATGCAATGTTCCTCAACTTGAACAGTTGCTATATGGAAACAAGATTTAACAAAATGACAACTTTAATTTTGAGCTTGTTAAAAAAAATAGAAGAATGATACAACACCTAGGCTAGATAATATTTACTCAAGTGTTAAGGATTGGATATTTGAGACTTGCAATTATTTTTTTCTAGGTCTTTGAATAGCGAGCAGATGCCAAAAGATTGAAGTTGGCTAATTTTACTCCTCTTTTCAAGGGAGATGAGAAATATTGTTCCTCTAATTATATAATCAATGATGGGAAGGTGCTTTGCAAAGAAAGTTAACAAAGTTTAAGATTTTGTTGGTTAGTAAGCATAATTTCATTAGAAGAAAATCTTGCTTTACTATTCTTTTGAGATTCTTTTAAGAGGTTACTGCTTAATTTAGTGAGGGATAATCGTGTATATGGTGTATCTGGATTTTCACAAAAGCATTTGAGAAGGTGCCACATAAAAGACTTGTTAAAAAAGTTATATTTGTAGGTGTGGAGGATAGGTTGGCTCATTGGATACAAAAGTGGAAAGACGAAAGAAAGCAGAGGATTGCTATAAATGGAGTTCAGTTAAACTGGATTCATGTTTCGAGTGGAATACCTCAGGATCAGTGTCAAGACATTTCCTCTTTTTTTATTAAAAAATGACATAGATGAAAGAAAGGTTAATAGATTATTTAAATTTGCTGATGAATTTAAGTCTTTGGTTTTGCTGACTGTGACGAGGGTGCTGCTGCTTTACAAAATAATTTAGATTATTTGGTGACTTGGACGGATAATTGGCAGATGGCTTTTAATTATAATAAATGCAATTAATGTTTGTGGATTACAATAAATGGAATTATAAGTATAATTTGGATGGGAATAACCTTAACAGTATTATGAAAGAAAAAGAAAGGGATCTTGGTGTAGTGGTTGATCAGTCTCTTAAGCCATCCAAGTAGTGTGCTGTTTGCTAGTGGAAAGGCAAATACAATTTTAGGTTGTATCTACAGAAGTATTGAATACAAATCTAAGAAGGTTACAATTTCATTGTATAGGTCACTGGTTAGGCCACATTTGGAGTATTATGTTCAGTCTTGGGCTTCTTACCTCAGGAAAAACATTGAATTGTTGGAAATGGTTCAAAAGAATGCTACTAAGATGATAGCTAGGATATAAAAATTATCAAATGAGGATAGGTTAACATCTCTAGAGTTGTTTTCCTTGAAAAAAGAAGATTTAGAGTAATTTTAATAATTTATGTTTCTTGAAATAATATGCTGACAAATCAACTAGCGCGTGATTTCAAAAGTTATTAAATTTGAAATGAATTTATCGTTTCTCATTTAAATCATCCTCTTAGATTATATATCACAAAGGTCGGAAATAATACTGTCAACATAAGTAGGCAAGTAGATCATCCATTGGAAGCTTTTAAAAGTCTATCAGTTCAACTTCTGATTTTTATAACCATTGAAGAACATTTTATTGCTGTAATATAACTTACTTTCATACTGTTCTACTCAAACCTTTGTTAAGAATGTTCTTAGAAATGAGTGATAAAAGCAATGTTGATTATTCCGGTTTGATAAATTTGTGTGGTTTTGTATTAAGTTAAAAGGTATCTAGATATTATATTTTTAATACCGATTGCAATATTTAATGTCACTTTGAAATGGAGGTGTAATTAAGTAGCTTTGTCCAAACATTGTTCAATCAAGTAAAGGGGTAATTATATTGTATGCACATGATTGAAAGAGGAATATTTAATTGGTGTAAATGCATTACACATTTGCTGACAATAATAGCACGAACTACAAGCATATATTATAGATATAACAATACATTTAAAATTTAATTATGTAAAGAAATAAAAGTTAAAGAATAAGTGAAATCAAACGGACTAATTGTCAAAAAAGTAAAAGTAAGTCTAATTACATGTCCTATGTGTCACATTCTGCTGTACTGTTGACAGATGTAACATAGAATGCATTTAGCTGTTCTGAAACCTTAAATACTTAATCTTCTTAGCCAGTGAAAAACAAATCAACGAAAAATTTAAACTAAGTTTAAAACACTAAGAAATACCTTTATTTCAACTGTACTATATTAATTATTTTAAGTCTATAAAAATGGAAACATTCTTTCAATCTACTACTTCTGTTGTAATTGTTATATTAACTTGAAAGAAAAACAAACAAGTTTTTTTAGAAATGGCATGGTGTAATGTTTTTTTCTTCTTCTTGTTATAGCTAAGTTATATTTTTAGTGGTTATTTTGTCAAGAGCCCATTGGAGCCAAGGAGACTATGGAGATTTATGTTGAACGTGATAATTGCTGGTGGAGGGATTCGTGTGTCAGCCTTTCTAGAAAAACTATTACATGCGTGACAGGAATATATCGTTACACGCTTTGTTGAATGCCTTAAAAACTTTGTCATTATTTGTAACCTGAGGTATGTCTGTATTATCATTCGAACGTGTTATTAGAGCTCAGAAGATTATGGATCGTAAATCTTATTTTATATTACGTGTAAACAAAATAAATCCCAGCTATTTTTAAATGGCGTTTTGTCTACTCAAACAGTTGTGAAAGCTGACAGAAGGCAGTTGGGTGACGTAGAGAGAAACCTCTATAGAAATGATAGCGGTGGTGAACTCTTTGGACATTTGTAAAGTTAAATTGAGCTAACGATCATGTAAGTGTAACTTAATCATGTTATGTTACTTGTAGTTTTGTTTTCCTTTATTAGTGCTTCGATAAAATACGCCCTTTAGCTTAATTCTGCTTACTTTAGAGTGTTCCCTCCCGTGGTATAGTGGTAAGTTTGAGGATTTATAACGCTAAAAATCGGATTTCTATAGAGCACAGATACTCCATTATTTAGCTTTGAATTTATTAACATACAAACTAGCCAAATATAATTGAAATCATGCTTCACTGTCTGTTATTGAATTATATTTATGCGTTAGAAGCCATTTCGAAAAACCTATGACTGCTAGTAAGATTTATCATTGGGATGCTGATTTTGTAAAGGAGAAGAACATAAAATAATATTACTGTTAGGTTGATAATGATGTTTTTTACCTCGAATTTCTTTTATATACGTAACCTGAGTGTGCTTACAATAGCATAAGATGGTATCATAATTTTTAATATAACATGTTTGTATATTTTTAAGATAATTAATGCTGTTATAGTAACAGTTTTCGTTTCTTTTTAAACCGAATAAGAATGTTTCATGATATTTCCTCACATTTTCCAAAAATTACAAATATATTAAATATATTCATCTGTCTTTCTAATACCTCGATTTATCTAATACTTAAATGCATGCTTCATACATTACCTCCTTGTAAGTGCTTTAAAAAAAACAGACTTGTTGAACCAAGAGAACAAGCGGTTTCTCAAAATTATTATTAGATTTCCTGTTATTTAATTATCCTCGGAGTAACGCACGAAGAGGCGGACAGAAGGCTGCTATTACACTTCAACCAAACAGCTGTATGTCATACATCGTATCTGACTACGATGTTAATGCTCTTCACATCCTCTTAAGCGATCTCTTGTTTACGTGTGGAGTTCGAAGTACAACACCAATGAAATGTGTATTCGAAGTTGTATACAATATGTTTTCTTGTTAGTCTATATATAACACCTTAAAACTTAGGCAACCTCATCATAAGAGAACGTATCTACGTGTGAAAAAAATATAGATAAGTCTTCCGTACATGGAGCATTTTATAGATTCGTGAATCTAAATCTACTAAATTTCCATCAATCAATGCTATTCACAAAATTTAACATTTTAAATTTGTATGTAGATCAGATATTTTAGCCATTTCGTGCTTTCGAAAAGGTAATACATTTATGTACGTATTAAAAATATATAAACTGCTCTGTAGTCTTATTTTCTGTTCTGTATTTGAAATTCACTATATAAGCTATAAATAACTATCGAAATGCTAAATTCTAAGCTATTACTTAACTGCTATATTTGTTATAAGTTCATGGTATAATTTATTTCTCATGTAAAAAAAGATTTCTTCAATTTCAATATATTTTCTTTATTTGAGTAGTTACTTTGAATCTTATTTTCTTTAAATATAGAATGTGTAAACCAGATCTAAAATACCCCTACAGATTTTATACATTAGAATCAAACTGAAACACAATAGTGACATTTTAATTCGATACATGTACAACATTATTGTATATAACCTATGTTATTATAATAGATTGTTTTTATAAAGAATACACACTGATATATAAACGTACATTTAATCAATCATATTACAAAGGCCTGCGAGTTTAAACTTCATAAAAGTTGTTTTGGTTTTAATAACGGATTCACCATAATTCAGCTACGCAGATTTCGAAAATAATATTCGTTTTTTTTTCTATCACGTAAGGATTTTTTACAAATCGGAAAGAACTCTTACTTAGATCAAATTATTATTTCGTTTACCACAATGAACATTATTATTATTATTATGTTTGTTAACAAAAATAGTCTTACAGTTAATAAACAGTATTAACATAGAGCTACACAAACTCTCGGGTAAATATTTGTAACTCTGAATTGTAACCTCATGAACAGTAATAATTCACGTTTCATGACTAGGCCTACGAAATATTTTAAGGAAATACTGAAAATCTTATAAGTGTGATTGCTAGTAACGTACTTCAATAGACTTTTGTTCTGATTTTTTTGCTGTGATGCATTTGAAACGATTATTACATTATGGTTACCATAGTAACTATTTTCAAACCTTTTGTCTACAGCTTTCAATAAAATGATATGATATGATACTAGTGTACATTTTAAAATAAAAGTAAAAATGACAATAACATCAAAGCTCCTTTTTTATATCATATCTTACGAAGTTTCTTTGAATCTCCAGGCACTCCTTGGTAAACTTCTTTCTTTGTACCACACATTATTTTCATTTGTATTCAACATGTTCATTTTGTTTTTGGTACAATTTGACTTTTAAATGTTAAATATATTAAACCGGTTGATACGAAAATAAGCCATCAAATAAAATGTTTTTTAAATTTTCTGTTGATAAACATATTTGGCTTTGTGGTACTTAAGGACATTAGTTTTATTCTATTAACATATTTTGAGTTTTCTTGCAATATGATGGCTTAAACCAATTTTGGTTATAATTTTTAGAAAATATGAAAATAACTAGGTATACTTGGCAATCCTGTTTTTACTCATGAATGTAGGCCTATTAAATATTAACTGTAAGAGCATTTTGTGGTATTAATGTTACATTGTATGATACAGTTTTGGTATTAGAGAATTGCATAAGCACATTAATAGTTGAATATATTAACCGAATATTTCTATCTATAAAACTCAGGTTTAATATATGATTTTAAGATATGCGGATGTTTTTAATCATAAGCATCACTTATCTTTGACGCATGTTGAACTATTAAATAAAAATGTTTAGATAAATATAACTTATACAATTTAATGCACCAAAGATGCATAACTAGTCCTAAATTTTATTAAGTTAAGATAATATCTTACATTAGTAAATTGTTTAAATTAGGATTTAGTGCGCATAATTAGAAATTGTATATCATTGCTGCCGTTTGTAACTAAAGGTACAAGTATTAGTTATTAGAGGATTTAGTAGTATATTTATCTATAGTTTAATACTCTTTAATCTACAGTTTAGTTTAGTGTGTGACGTCACTTCAGCTAAACTTTAAGCTTATTCATTTATTAGTAAGTTACAAAACAGGATAAATAAATTAAAATGTGAAATCTAAAGTGAAATAGAATATATTTAATGATCCTCGTAACTTTTCATTATGGATAAAATAGTAAACATTAAATGTATGTTGAAGAGTTACAAAATCTGTAAAACTCCTATTCGATAGTCTGATTCAAATATATATCCATATGTAATTTCATTTCAGTTTTTTTCATAGACTCTGTTAAAAATTTTACTCGAAAGAACAATAATGTATTATTCATGTAATAAATATATTTCTATGTGAAACCAGAAATCAGTCGTGGTTTCTTTTCTGATGACTTCATAAAAATTAATACAACGTTTCTACTTTCGTTTTTTCCTGAGTTTCGTTTGTTTCGAGAGACAGAGAGAAAACTTTTGCGATCACCTTTCGCTTAAACACAAATAAACACATACAACACTTAGTTCTATGGAGAATATAAGCATATGATACATCTGCAAACATATTATAAGAAAGAGTAGTATATCTGATAGATGTCATCCAGAAAAATATACATTCATGATATATCTGCAAATAGATTCTAGGAAATGTGCGTAACAGACACTTGTCAACCAACAAATAGATTTTTGGAAATTCACATGACACTTGTAAACCAACAAATAGAATGCACATAACACTTGTTAACCAAATTCTACAAAAGATGTTCTCCAGAAAACATGCATGATATGTCTGCACAGAGAATCTAGGAAATAGTATCACAGACAAACTGTTAGGAAACAGCAACACCTGATGTATGCCAACCTAGACTCTAGAATACAACAACAATTGTCATAGCTCTACCCATGTAGAAAATATTACCCATTCCTCATCCATCTTCAATAAGAGTGAAGAAAATATTCATTAAAGCCCTGTCCACGACCTTCGAAACATTCAGAGTACATGCTTGTTCACTAGACATCAAGAAACATTTGCTACATCTTCACACAAACGATTATATAATCACTTCAGATTAATTGTTTCAATAATCAAGAAAATGTTCATGCCTGTAATGCATCTATAACTTAAATAACATTCACTGCTCCAAAGAACACACGCACACATTTATTTCAATTCAACTTAAGTGCTAAGAAACATTAATAACCACTGATTTTAACCTAGACATATTTATTCATACTCAACCGTATTGTGTGAAATATATACACACGTTACCATTCCCCAACAAACGTTCACACTTTCATAATACAGTTCCTCATTAACACGAGAAAACACCCATAAGTGACACTATTCACTATATTATGTTGTTTTACTGTATATATATATATTTATATATATTTCATGTGCATGTTTGGAATTATTAAAACGAGATACATGTTAGCCAAATTCTAGGAAAAAAAAAATATATATATATATATCTGATATATCGTCTCTAGTTTAGAAGAAAAATGTTAATGTTTTTTTAAAAACCCACCAAAGTTTAGATACGCGCAACTGATCCATCAGATTCATCCTCAACAATCAACTGAGAAGTTCTCACTCCTTTGGCACTTTCGACCAATCTTTGAAAAGTCATTAGAAGCTAAGAAGTGTAACTAAAGTGACAAAATTATCAGGCTAATTTATTTATGTTTTATCGAAACACAGGAATGGTATTTATAATGTTCTTACATAGTATGCACTTAATTGTAATTTTATCCTTATATACTTAGTTATTTAACTTTGGCAACAAACATAACAAAATTTTAATACAAAGAAAAAAAGAAATTAGGAATAGGAGCACCAAAAAGTAAGGAAATAGGGTAGGAATGGACGGTAGAACATTACAACACTTGGTGGTTTCTGCCACGGTACAACCTCAAAATGGGTGTGTCCATCGTACCTCCAATTCCTACTTTGTGTACTTTTTGTAACTTTGTAATTGTTAAAACTAAATGAAAGGTGTATATAGCTAAATTTCCCTGTTGTAAACTTTGTTTCAGTATC